TTTCGGAGGTGCGAATCTTGAGACTACAGGTTGCATACTTGTAAGGCCTGAGCCATAGTTCACGCGATTTCGTCGCCCTCGCGATTCTCCCGACAAGACAACTGCTGCAAATTCATTGCATGTCGATCACCTCGCACTTCAGTTTTGATAGTCAGTCACGGTTAGTTGTGATGGAAATCTGTCACAACCGAAGTGCAGGAGAAACGCTGCAATGAACTTGTGACAGTTGTCTTGTGAGAATCGCGAAGCCATGAATTCGCGTGAATTATGCCCGAGGCCTTACGCATATGTAGCGATGACTCTTATTTTTTCTTCCAGCCGTCAAGAGCTCACACTTCACATTGTTTACACCTTCTGAAGAAAACCATGGTTCATTTGCATACATGAGTTTTATTTATTTTACTTTTTCAGGACCAGCTCCTCTTTATGAGACTAGCTCGTTCATGGGCTCGGCATCTTCGGTTGGCTCACCACTTGGCGATGAATCATCAGCAGCTAGTCCCATGCCTCAGAATGACACTCGTCATTTTCTGACAGACACCACTGCGCCGATGGATTGTCAACTTTCGCTTGATGTGTCACATTCATGGGATGACGTTACCGAGTTTCTTATGTCAGAGGGGTTTCCGGTGGATTCGCCTAATTCTCAGGTTACACCAACATAAACAACACTATATGGTAGTTGTTTATGCTTGGGCTTCTTCAGGTAATTCATTGGTCTTTTCTCTCATCACATGTTCCTCTTTATTACTGAAATACCTGTTTAAAGTGCTCTAAGCAGCTGATCTTGTTCTGACTGCTGTCTTTTTACGTGTACAGTTTGAGTGTTAGCGGTTTTGTTATCAAAATCGCCGACACAGATATTTTTTTCATAGCATTTTCAGTTCAATCCCGATAGATATGTGATCAAAATTAGTTCGCTACCGATTTACTTTGAAATAATCAAAACTTTGGCAAAGTGCTACAACTGCTTTATATCGCATTACATAGCTCATGATTCTCATCTGTCTTCAGTGTTCAATGTTTGTTTCTCACTTAAAAGTGTTTCTGAAGTCTCACTGGGGTAAATTACTACTGGTTGCAATATCCAGTATAAATAATCTTGGCAGACGTTTCTTCTTGTTGTACAGTGTTTTTTGTTGTAATAATCCTGACTGGATCTCTTAAAAGTATCAAGAACGGCTGTAAACAAGACGACATGCGCCTGTTAAAGTACTTGAAAATTCTCGAAGTTTGTACGAGTTTCAGATGTTCAAAAAGTATTGAATGAGTCATCAGTTTGTAATAATTGGTCTAGTGCTTATGAACATACATTTTCGATTGTGAAGTTTTGTCGTAAAGAAATAAATGATTTATAGCTAGTGGTTTTGCGATTGTTTACGAGGAGTTGGAGAAAAATAATTTTATTCACCTTCTGAGTCGGGGCCCGGCTCGAGGTAGCACTTCCCCATCTGGAGATTGAGATTCTTTCGGGGTCTTAATTTAGCCATATCTTCAGAGCACTTCAGCAGAGGATGATCGAACAGAAGTGAAGAATCGGCAATCGATTTTGTCGGAACTTCTTAAACTTGGGTAATCAAGCCTTTATTAGAAAACTTGGACAGTCAACATAACGTAATTGAACATGTAAACAAATAACTTGACTTCTAAACTTCTCA